GATAAGTGTTCACTTTTGCACCAAAACAAGTGTTCACCCAGCCAAGATAAGTGGTCAGTTTGCTACCCAAAACCCCATAGAGAGTTACTGTTAGAGGAAGGGTCTAATATATATATATATATACATATATATATATATATACATATACAGATGTATCTATTTATACAAGCCCGACTGAAGTGCATCAACAAGATCCTGGAGACCCCGAGTCCCCAGCCCTTGGTTTGAGCCGCCAAGGTTCATCCGAGTCATGTCCAAGAACTCCTACATTGGGGAGAGGGCGCTGCTCTTCGACGAACCACGCACAGCCACGGTGGAGGTGGTCTCCAGCGAGGCCTTGGGTATCTGTGTCTGCCGTGACTAAGCGGCGCCACCACGACCTGTTGCCGTGTTACTTGTGGCTTTATGATGGGCCGCTTTGGTTTTGATGGGAGTGTCAGTACCCATGTTTGTTCTGTTGGCACTGAGCTAGTAGCTAGCGCTTGTATTTCAGATAGATGACAGGTCTTGTGTTTGTATTTGTACGAACACGAGCACCGACGCTTGTGTTGCCATTGGGGGGATATTGGCCCCGGCATGGGCCGCTAGGGAAGGAGCAATAGTGTCGGTGTGCAAACGTTGCGCAGGGATGGCGGCAAAGGTTATGATTATGGTAAGTTCAACAATTTCTGAAAAAGGTGCTGGTGCCAAGAAAAACTCCAACAACCATGAGCTCGCGTAAGGCCGACACTTGATGCCTCTTTGAAGGTCTCAGGCCTCCAAAGTCACGCACAAATCCAGGCATCGGTCTAGCTAAACATCAAAAAGCCGCTGGTCATCTGCAAGGCGGAGTTCTGGTCTATTGAGAAGCACACCTTCACACAGACCCGTGGCTGATGAGAGCAGAAGGTTCGGGCAGTTTGGGTGGCCCGCGCCCGCTGTTTGCACCTTGACATGTCCTGGAAGAAGCATTACACAGTCACAAAGTGGCCGTGGCTGTCGCAGCCGTAGTGGATGCGCATGGGGTTCCTCAAAACCCTATTCTAACTACTAAGGCCCCTATATCCTAAGCCCCTATAGTAGCCCTTATAGAACCCTTTAAAGATCCCTTTAACGCGGTTCTGCAAACCCTTGGAGCCTCCCTGGGCTCAGGATCGTGAAGGGGAAGATGCAGGCAGAGCTCATGCACCGGATCCGGCTTCAAGACTCATCTTTCGGGCTCAAGGCCTGGATTTGGGGCACTGGTGGTCGCCGTAGTGGGTGCCAGTAGTCGTCGTCGTAGTAGTCCTAGTAGTTGCAGCGGTAGGCCGCCTTCGTGGCCGCAGCCGTAGCTGTGGCAGCAGGTCCAGCAAGACCAGTCGGACCAGTAGGAGTAGTAGTATAGCACTAATGGTAGTGGTAGAGGTAGTGGTGGTAGTAGCAGTAGTAGCAGCAGTCGAAAGTAGGACGTAGTAGCGTAGTACGTCTAATTGTACCACGGGTTTGCAGGTGCACAAGGCATGCGATATTCTCCTCTTTTTTCCCAAGCCCGACGGCATTCTAGACTGGAAGCTCGATGCAGGACCTGAGCCAAGTTTCCGTCATCGGCGCGGGAGCTGCTGGTGTAGTCCGCCTGGTGATCAACAAGAGCACCGGGACCAGGTGGGCTTTGGGTTTAGGGACAAGGATTCTTCGCTTTTTCCCCAACAATGGAATTCTCAAACCCTGTGCAGTACCAATTCAGCTGTTGGAAGAAGGGATCGCACAGAAACGAAACTGGCGATGTAAGTCCTAAACCTTAGAAACTGAAAACCTGACTAGCTGAAGGAAACGAGGTACCCCCAACAAAAAAGAAGCCACAAACCTGAGGCCGTTGCCTGGATAAGGCCTTTGCCCCGAGACGACGCTTGAACGTGCTCCATCCCTCAACATTTCAAGTTGTTGCATCCCAAACCCTAAACCCTAAA